TTCTTCCTAACGTTTCGCCAGTCTCTGTGGCCAGCATCTTCAGAGGACAGCAAACTACTACACCAGAGTTCTAACTGCTGTCCTCTGAAGATGCCGGCCACAGAGACTGGTGAAACATCAGGAAGAACAACCTTCAGAACACGGCCAAAGAGCCCGAAAAACCCACAACAACCATCAGATCCCGGCCATGAAAGCCTTAGAGAATAAAATAAAATAAGCCTGCATATAGGTTGTAAATTGTAATCTAGGGCATCGGGTTAAGAAAGGCTGGTGGGGTGTGTGGCTAAATAAACTCTGGGATGTAAAGGAAAGGCAGATATTATCAACTTTGGTTTGGGACAGGAACGGATGTGCTGGAGCTTGAGATTTTTGTCATTGTGGGCCATATATTATTTAATCCTGGAACCATTGTACAATAGTAGACATATTTCAAACAATTTCTAATGTAGTAATTATTCTACATTTTGTTGAATAGTGCACAAAGACTCAAGGAATGGCAACTCAGTTTTTGAAGAGATTGCAGAAGCCCCTGCAATCTCTGTTTAACTGAAATACGTTCAAATTGTTCAAGGAGGATTTTTAACTACCACCACCTTTTTTTTTTCAATTTTATGAAGCCACCAGGAGGATTCTGGGAGCAGAAAATTAGGTCCTGGGCTCGGCATAATTGCCTGTTCCTGTTATAGCCCCATGCGGGACACGACAAGATGATTTTAGTGTTACTGAAGTTGTTGAAGAGTTTGGAAGGGGGATTTCATCAGGATGCTGTTAAAAGTGGGGGTTTTTGGTTTAAAAACCCTTTCTCACTGCATATTGATTTCCTTAATGATAATTCTTCCATAAAACAATATTTTCCCCTTATAAAAAATGTATAGATTTCTAAATATTTTCTGTAAGTTGATCAATCAAGCTTCAAAGAGGAAAGCAATATAGGCTATAAATATAACATGGAAAGGATAACCCTCGTGATTCTCCCTAAATCATCATGCAACTCCGGTGGCTAGGAAGAAGACGCTGACCTCTTCATCCCAGCCCTCTGGAATAGTTTTCCTCAACCAAATGTATTCCAGAGATTTTTGAACCACTGCTTCCACTTTCTTCTGCCAGTGTGCTTGAAGAATGCCCCCTTAGCGCAGCACTGCGAATGTCAGAATTTCTGGAGGGCTAATTTCCATGTTAGGACTCACCGTGGGCTACACTGCCCAACGATGCCAAAACGATTGGTGTGGGATTTGGACAACTGTGGGTTGAGAGAACTTAAATACATAAAGTCTCAGAAGTCTTTCATTAATGTCTTCGTGTTACATAGTTCGAATCTCATGTCGTAGGCATATTATTTATCATTGTAAAAGAACATTTCCCACACTCTGTAATTTTTTTCTATTTTTCCAGAAAAACAGCAACAATGGTTTTGGAAACAAAAAATGAGGGGAAAAATTGTTTTTAATCCAAATTTCCCATTTCCCTTCCACAGGCCTCCCCATCTCTAACCTTGGGTCCCAGATGTTCTTGGACTGCAACTCCCAGAATTCCTGGCCAGCACAGCTAGTGGTGAAGGCATCTGGGAGTTTTAGTCCAAGAAGATCTGTGGACCCAAGGTTGGGAACCACTGAGTGAACAGAACTATAGCTATTGGAGGTTTCAAGGAAGAGAAAATATCGAACCAAGGTTGGGAACCACTGAGTGAACAGAACTATAGCTAGTGGAGGTTTCAAGGAAGAGAAAATACCCAATGTTGCATCAAGCTTTTTTTTTGCCTCAGGAGGCAAGTGTGTCTCGGGGCCACAAAAAGGACATCTGGAACTACATGCCATCCTAATCCACATTTTGTTTTCCCCTCAGCTGAAAAATATCTTGTTGACAAAGATACAGGGAACCACTGAGTGAACAGAACTATAGCTAGTGGAGGTTTCAAGGAAGAGAAAATACCCAATGTTGCATCAAGCTTTTTTTTTGCCTCAGGAGGCAAGTGTGTCTCGGGGCCACAAAAAGGACATCTGGAACTACATGCCATCCTAATCCACATTTTGTTTTCCCCTCAGCTGAAAAATATCTTGTTGACAAAGATACAGGCGAATTAATTCTAAGACAGATGGACAGAAAAATACACATAAAAAGGAAGATCTCTGGCCGCACATCATCTTCCTGATTTTATTCCCTCTTGTTTTCCTAGACCTACGAGCAGCGCAAGGTGGTTGAATTCACCTGCCACACGGCTTTCTTCGTCAGCATCGTGGTGGTGCAATGGGCAGACTTGATCATCTGCAAAACCAGAAGGAATTCAGTCTTCCAGCAGGGTATGAGGTAAGATGGCGGGTCTTTCCTTTTGCTTAAGAAACAGCAGTTCTCTCATGCAAGGCAGGGAATGAATCCTGGAGGAGAGGGCAAGCGGTGTGAAACCATGGTGGGCAACAGGTACACAGAGAGGGAAGGACCAAGACCAGAACTGAAAGATGATGGATTTGCCTCTGGGGTTGCTTGGGGATTTGGGATTCAAACGTTGTGATCTCCAGATAGAAACCCTTGAACAGAAAGATCAAAGTTATCTCCCAGAAGGTCACATTATATGGTTTGTTTACCACATTACAGGGTGACAAATTACTGTATGGCATTGAGTGGTAAACTTGAGAGGATGCAATAACTAATCCCAGTTGCTTGATGAGTATAACTCTGTGAGATTGACTGAGTGAGTGAGGACGTCCACCAGTGAGTAGGTCACTACTCTGGACAGCTTGCAATAACCTAGTAACATATAATGAAATGACAGTAGTAAACTAATAAAACATCACACAAAAGCAAATCTCTAAGAATAAAATAACTAATGCAAAAAAGTGTGTGTGTGTAGATATATATACATAGCTATATATATTTCAATACAAAGGTTCAATAGATGGCAGCAAAACAGAGAGACAACTACAGTGGGGTCTTGACTTGAGAACTTAATCCGTATTGGAAGGCGGTTCTCAAGTCAAAAAGTCTGTAGGTCAAGTCTCCATTGACCTACAGTGCATTGAAAACCGATTAATCCCGTAACAGGCCGTTTTTGTTCCATTTTGGTTTTTTTCTGGTCTGTAAGTCAATTCTCAGGCTGCAAGTCAAACCTAAATTTTGCGGCCAGAGAAGTCTGTAACTCAAAAAGTCTGTAAGTCAAGCCGTCTGTAAGTCAAGGGTCC